CAAAAACTACTCAAATGTAACATAACTGGTAAAATATTTAAAGTTTTAATTAACATGTATTCTGATACGAAATCTTGTGTGAGAAATGGGAATGAAATGTCAGAAATGTTCACTTCAAATGTCGGACTAAAACAAGGTGAAAATTGCTCGCCTTTTTTATTTGCAATATTTTTAAATGATTTAGAAGACTATTTATTGGAAAAAAATGTCGATTGTTTACTAAAGATTGATGAACTTTGTCATGATCATATTGGTATGTACGTAAAGCTTTTTGTTATTTTATATGCTGACGATACAGTGTTAATGTCAGAGACAGCAGATGGTCTACAATCAATGCTAAATAAATTTCAGGATTATTGTGAGAATTGGAAACTAACGGTAAACACACAGAAGACAAAAATTGTCATCTTTTCTAAACGAAAGAATACTAACAGATATCGATTTCTATTACAGGATAATGAGCTAGACATTCAAGATTCTTTTCCATACTTAGGTGTTCTATTTTACTATAATGGGAGGTTTGTAGTGGCAAAAAAGCAATTAGCGGAACAGGCCCAAAAAGCACTATATGCCGTATATAAGAAAATAAGAAATGTTTCGTTACCCATTGATTTACAATTCAAATTGTTTGACTCGCTAGTTGCTCCAATTTTGCTATACTCATCAGAAATATGGGGCCATGAGGATGTTAGTATACTTGAAAAAATACACCTCCAATTCTGTAAACGAATTCTTGGTCTACGCAGAAATACTTGTAATTTTATGGTATATGGAGAAACGGGCAGATACCCTATTGAGGTTGATGTCAAATTAAGAATGATTAAATTTTGGTATACACTTACCTCGAGTGAAAATAAGTTGTCTAGTCGAATGTACAAATTGATGTACTCATTACATGAAAATGGACAAATCGAGTTTAAATGGTTGAACTATGTTAAACATATCCTGGATAGCGTAGGTCTAAGCTATGTTTGGATCCATCAAAAAACCTGTCTGCCCGATATTACTTATTTAAAAGCTGCAATTATACATAAATTACACGATCAGTTTATTCAATCCTGGTTTAATAAAATTGACACCTCATCCAGAGGACGATTATACTCTACATTTAAATATCGCTTTGGTTTAGAAGACTATTTGATCAGATTAAACGCAAAAGATAGGAAAATTATCTGCAAATTTAGAACTTCAAATATTAAGCTTCCAGTAGAAACAGGAAGATGGGTGGGAATTCAAAGACAGGACAGAATATGCCCACTTTGTAATACTGGTATTGGGGACGAGTATCATTACTTATATACTTGTAATAACGACACTTTAGTCAAAATAAGGGAAAAACATATTCCGGCCTATTTTTATACAAGTCCAAACCAACATAAAATGAAAGGAATGTTCACAATCTTTAATATGAAATTGTTAAAAAGTGTAAGCTTATTTGTTCAAAAATTAACAAAAGTACTTTAGTGTCTCTATTCTTTAAGTTTTTCTTTTGTTTGCTAGTGACATTTTTATAAGTTGAACACTGAATTATTTGTATGTAACTACACGTATATATATTTTTTATGTACTATGCTATGGTATAGAATGTTTGCCTGTCATGCACTCAAACTATGTTATATATACATGACCTCTTGTTACACATATTATGTGTGTCTGAGTGAAATAAAAATCTTGAAATCTTGAAATCTTGTTAGTCATGCCTTCTTATCAGGATAGAGTTTACGATAAGAAAAAAATACTCGACTAGTCTAGTCTGATGTTTACACCCGGATGTTCATACAAAACCTGTGACATTTATTCAATGACGAGTGGATTGTTTGCTTAGTGCGATTCTTATCCTTCCATGATTTACCTGTAACGGCCAATCACATATTTGTTTACTAGTATGTCCTTATCACTATGTAATACCTGTGTAGGTTAGGGGAAATTCAAGATTTATTTTTGTTTTTCTCAGACACAGAATTCATCCCTAATGGCAAAATAAAACAACAATTAAATAAACAAATACAATTTAACGGTATTCACCGCTAATCACTTCGCAACATAAATAACAAATTCGATCCTGGCGAGGTTTCCATCAGCCCATCGTTCAGTTTCTATTGGCAGATCATGTTCGTAACAGACAGCTAATGAGGGGTCCTGAACATTCTCTTTGTACTCCTCTTGGATAGCATTGAAGAGACAATAAGTTACCTAGTGCACCAAATACAATATTTTGTAACATCATTTCCCCGTTACTTCTTGCATCGCGTATTTTTTACCTTTTTCTATTCCGTGTAGCCAATTAGGGTCAGAAGGTGTCACTTGACCGTTAATCTATCTGTTTGTTTGGGGTTTGACGACCTCACAATAGCCAAGGTCATATGAGGACGGGTGCCCATGGAGACACAACAGCCAAGGTCATATGAGGATGGATGCCAAGGTAGACACAACAACCAAGGTCATATGAGAAAGGGTGCACAGGGAGACACATTAACCAAGGTCATATGAGGGCGGATGCCCATGGAGACACAACAGCCAAGGTCATATGAGGACGGGTGCCCAGGGAGACACAATAACCAAGGTCATATGAGGACGGGTGTCCAGGGTGACACAACAGCCAAGGTCATATGAGGACGGGTGCCCAGGGAGACACAATAACCAAGGTCATATGAGGACGGGTGTCCAGGGTGACACAACAGCCAAGGCCATATGAGGGCGGGTGCCCATGGAGACACAACAGCCATGGTCATATGAGGATGGGTACCCAGGTAGACACAACAGCCAAGGTCATATGAGAACGGGTGCCCAGGGAGACACAATAACCAAGGTCATATGAGGGCGGATGCTCAGGGAGACAAAACAGCCAAGGTCATATGAGGACGGGTGCCCAGGGAGACACAACAACCAAAGTCATATGAGGACGGGTGTCCAGGGTGACACAACAGCCAAGGCCATATGAGGGCGGGTGCCCATAGAGACACAACAGCCATGGTCATATGAGGATGGGTGCCCAGGTAGACACAACAGCCAAGGTCATATGAGAACGGGTGCCCAGGGAGACACAACAGCCAAGGTCATATGAGGGCGGGTGCCCTTGGAAACACAATAGCCAAGGTCATATGAGGATGGGTGCCAAGGGAGACACAACAACCAAAGTCAAATGAGGGTGGGTCCCCTGGGAGACACAACAGCCAAGGTCATATGAGGACGGTTGCACTTGGAAACACAACAGCCAAGGTTATATGAGAGTGGGTGCCCTGGGAGACACAACAGCCAAGGTCATATAAGGGTGGGTGCCCTGGGAGACACAACAACCAAGGTCATATGAGGATGGGTGCCAAGGGAGACACAACAACCAAAGTCAAATGAGGGTGGGTCCCCTGGGAGACACAACAGCCAAGGTCATATGAGGACGGGTGCACTTGGAAACACAACAGCCATGGTTATATGAGGGTGGGTGCCCTGGGAGACACAACAGCCAAGGTCATATAAGGGTGGGTGCCCTGGGAGACACAACAACCAAGGTCATATGAGGATGGGTGCCAAGGGAGACACAACAACCAAAGTCAAATGAGGGTGGGTCCCCTGGGAGACACAACAGCCAAGGTCATATGAGGACGGGTGCACTTGGAAACACAACAGCCAAGGTTATATGAGGGTGGGTGCGCTGGGAGACACAACAGCCAAGGTCATATAAGGGTGGGTGCCCTGGGAGACACAACAACCAAAGTAATATGAGGGTGGGTGCCCTGGGAGACACAACAGCCAAGGTCATATGAGGACGGATGCCCAGGGAGACACAACAGCCAAGGCCATATGAGGACGAGTGCCAAGGGAGACACCACCGGAAACAGAAGTAGGGGAGAGAGAAAAGAAAACGATACAGATCCCACGTGATGCAATATTTGAGATTTTTCTATTTCTTTCTACTTCTAACTATCTTTTATTTCCTAGCGCCTTTCTTGGCAACACCTCAGTTTTAGTTTTAATGTTGAACGTTCGCCCAGGTGAGGAAGGGAATGGGTTCTGTCCCCAGGCCGGGACATACCAAAGTCATTACAATGGTAGTTGTTATTCCCAATCTGATTAACATCATCTGTTACATGTGGCTCCGCCTGAACATCTGAATGTGCCGCAGTCAGGGTCACGTTCAAGTGACATTTAGATAAACCAATCAGAGGCGCGCTGGCAAAAGTATGCCAGCGAATCGGAATATCAGGGTTGATATATAAATAGCGAGGGGTATCGCACAGATTAGTTTTCCAAAACAAATATGGCGGCGGGAACTGACGTTTCTACGACGCCAAGGAAAACGTACCCATTGGGGAATAATTGCGTAGGCAACACCACCATACAGTCTTTCTTCTCTAATAAAGCTTCGATTTTTTTTTTTTATGTTCGGGTTTCAGAAGATCAATCTCAAATAACTTCAGAACTTTCGCATCGTTCTCATCAATGTCGACATATTTGTTACATCTCCGAGCGCCCTTTTGAAAGAAGGTATCTGATTGGTCAAAATTTAATGAGTATTTATAAATATAAAGGTCACCTGAACGTGACCCTGACCGCGGCACACTCAGATGTCCAGGCGTAGTACGAATTTAACGAAGCCATGTAACATATGATTTTAATCAGATTATGTTATTCCCTGCTTAACGTTCAGAATTTATGGTAATGGCAAGAACTGGTTCACCTGTTGTCAGTATAATATGACCTGGCGGATTGCTGTCTTAGGGGCCTTCGGCATGGTATTTCAGTGAGATGGCACTATAAAGTCGGCATCAGATCCACGCTATCACAAGGAGGCAATTACACTGACATACCCTGTCTCCAGCAACCAGTTGTTACCATTACAATAAACGCTGAACGTTAAACAGGGAATAACAACTACCATTTTAAGACTTTGGTATGTCCAAGCACACATGCCACATACACAACACACATGGCGGCACGTCCTTAAATGACATTCGCTGTTAATAGGACGTTAAACAAAATAAAACCCAACCAAATCAAGCGTGCTTCCTTTTTATTTTGTTTGAGAACAACTGGAAAACATGAGTTATGTCCGTTGTGTCCAGCAATAATATGCGATACACTTGATTACTTGATGTGTCAAAACACTCTCGTTAGTCTATTTCCTGATGTACTGTATTCGTTTGATGAATTTAGCCCTGAACACCGCCCAGAGAATTCCGCCTCTGTCCACGCCCACGGCCAGCGCCCTGTCAGTGTCTGTATGGAGAACTCGGAGGTATTGTCCAGCGCCACTCAGCAAATGAAGGCAGCAATTGTCAATGTCAGCGACGATAAGGTTACCGAAAGCGTCATATGTGACGTCATAGGGGTCATTTCGACCTTTGAATTCCAATCGGGATAAGTTTTGTAGATTTCTGTCCATCATTAAGACATGGGGTCTACCACTACCGCCCTCTACCGTCAAATCTCTGTCGATCACAACAATATTCGCACTGACCGGGCACTGCGAGATTTTCCGCGGGGAACATACCAATTGTATCCCAGGTGGTGATTTGCTGGTGACCATCGGCTTTCCTGCCTGTGTGAACTCGGTGATTTTATTTTTCATGCCCACTAAAACATTACCATTTTTAGTAACATATATGCATTTTGGCGGAGTGTCCGTCTTGAACCTGGTGATCATTGTTCCCGACACCAGTTCCATGACGCTGTTGTCTTTGTTTGAGCATGCCCAAACGCTGTGTATGGTATGACAGATATCTGTCACCTTTGTATGGCTTTGTATTTCCTGAAGAACCACTCCTTCGCGGGTCATATGCGTGACAGTGTCACTGACAAAGTTGCACGTCCAAGCTCTGTCTATGACGGTCGGACAAATGGACGTGATGCGACACGGCGACTCCCACTCATACAGGACCTTCGTTTCCGGTAGAAATTCACACTTTGATGATACTGGTATACTGGGTGGCGCTTTCACTTTCTGTCTTGGCTCATTCTCGGTAGGCAAAGAATCGGGTCGAGCTGATGATCTGGCAGAAACTACACCATCATCATGTCCCTGCGCATGACCTTGGCGGAAGTGACGTTGTATCTGATCACACGAGATGATGGACCCTGATCCGAAGGCTTGCTTCAAGATCTCTTCGGGATTCTGATTTGGATTGAAACTTGCAGTGCCAAGATCTTGAAGTGTGGGTAATGTGATTTGAGGAGGGATCCTGGTGATGGTATCACACACTTGCAGATCTGTTCCAATCTGAAGAGCTTCCTTACACTTTTTCAGTCGCTCTTGCAGTTCTTTCAGCTTTTCTTCCATTTGTGACTTGTAGTTCTGTAAAACTTTAGAATGTTCTTCTTGTAACTGTTTCAAATGCGAAATAGTTTGATTCATCAAAACATTAATTTCTTCTTTAAGTTTTTCTCCTTGAGCTTTCACTACTTCTGCCAATTTCTCAAAATGAACCAAATTTTTCTGCAATTTGTCTGCTGAAGAAGCAATTTCCTTAGGAATCTGATTGAGTTCATTTTTCTCGGCTTTTTCTATGAAGTTTCTTATCTTTCGTTTGTTGTCGGGTGTAAGTAGACTAAGCTGGATTATGTCATGCCCCTTGTGTGTAGAAGACACGCATGTCGCGCATATGAGATCACTACAAGTTTCACAAAACCAGTCTAGTGTGTTCCCCTTGTGATATACACAAGTTGTCTGCCCTTGTGCGCGGACGACGATCTGGCCTTTACGTAACGATGTTGCCATTTTCAGTAGATAATTCACCACTATACATGTATATTATTTTATATAATTATTCCCTTTTTCTTAGTTTTAGAATAAAGTTAAACACTCCTTCATATTCCTGTTAATGTCGGAGCGAAATCGACCCAATATGAAATTTTGAATATCTGAACTTTAACATAAATTAGCTCCTTACTTCACTGTTTCGTGACGTCACTGTAACCGTGATATCGCTGATCGGAGACTCTTCTTCTATATTACTCCAGCGTCCGGTTGACATGGGAAGCTTGAGAGCAGGAAGTTTTCTCCACTGCGCAACCGAAACCTTGGTAATCCTAGAAGACTCCGCCATCTACCGGCCGAGTGCGAAGACGTCTTCAGCCAACCAGCGAGAGGCTAACTGGATTGATGCTGCAATTCTATTTCAAAAATCAAGAAAAAACAAATAACATAAGCACTTGAATGTACCATATATGTGCCCCTGAAAGTTGTTATGATAAAATCGAAGGCACACGAGAAAGCTATTTGTTTAAGTTTACAGAACCGACCGTCAATCGTTTGGCTGTTCCTTGTCAATTGAAAAACAGGCCAACAGTGGAGCGACACTCGACTTTAAAGCCGGTTAGTTTTACCGTTACACTGCCGCGCGATTTCGTCGTCACCTACATAAAAAATCAAACCGGTCTACTTGCCATATCTTGCCATAGGATGTCGATCACATACATTCGATAATCCTCTTACTAACATGTTTATAATAGTATACAGGAATGTCTACTGTCATTGATATAAACGTATGATAACACATAGCCATGTCGATTCATAAGCGCCATTTTGATTTATATATATATATAAACGCATGAATATTACGTTTTTTGTTTGGAATAAAAGGTTCATAATACATACCTAGAGGTACACTTGACCAATCCTTGTCGTCTACTGGAGATCCAATGAATTTAAATTGATTAAGTTAGTTAGATTGACATACAGACTACCCTCTCGATCACCTTTATATTGCTGAATGCGCATGCGCAAACGTTCGTTCTCCTTTAAGTTGTCGACACGGCTCGATTGCAGATAAACACGTTTCGATCACATTTAAACATACCAATCTCAGTAGTAAAATCATGTGTTTGGTAAATTTGTAATTTGTAAAATTTCATCTTATTAATGGGTTAGCAGGTTAAGTGGCTAGTGAGATTAATCTGATTAGAAGGGTTAAACCCTTTTAAGGGAGGCTTCCCAAGTAGTTACATTACATTGTCACTGAGATACACTGATAAGAACTATTTTAAAAACGCAGTAAATGATACCACTGAAAAAGTATAAGATTAAGAAATATCGCATTTTTTTCTGGTCAAATATTGATTTAAAGCAAACAATCTCTTTTTAGTTCACTGAAGGGTCCCAGTACCTCTGCCAAAAACTGTAACTACTTATTTGAAACGGCTTTCTGTATTACTTCAGCTTTGATAAATTAATTTTGTAAAAAAAAATCATATCTTGAGGAACTTTTTAATGAAATATGGGACAAAGTCCTCAACTGAAAAACAACACGATATCAGTACATTTGACACCTCATCATACTTGCCTATTGATACAATACGCAGGCACATGCATACAAGGGGCATAACTCTTACAAAGTATTATTTACATTGTGTTGCAGTGCCACTAGATAACAGTACCAAATAAAAATGTTTGCATGATTCAATAAAAGCAAGTGTGTAGTAATATTAACAGTACTATATGTACCGTTGCATGACCTCTGACCCCCAACACACACAAACACAAACAAACCAAAAACAAAACAAGATTGTTTATCAACGGTTAAAATACATGTAAATTTATTTTAATAATCCTTTTTTTGATATTATCAACCAGAAATCACCCTGAAATTTAAGTCCGCTTATTCAGCGTATAGTATACGTCATGTGCTAACTCCAGCCACAGACATTTGTAACGAACCCCTGTTCTCCAGCCAATAGGCTATGTCTGACAGCAACGTCGTGGACGTGTCCTTAGAATATAGAATAACTGTGGTTTTGAATCAAGGCATATCATGTATATGGCGGGCCACCGAAGCGTGTCTGCTCTAAGATCCTATAACAGGTCCTTTTCAACAGAACAGAATAATTCACTGTCCTCTAGAATCTACACCAGCGTCCGATGCAAGTGGCGAAGCAGGTGAAATCGGCCAGTCCCCTCATCGACAGTAACACATGCCGAATGTTCAACGATGAGCTAGTCCTGTTGACACAGTCGATCGACACAAGAATTCAGCCAACAGCATCTTTTAAATTGTCTTCCGGTTTCTAAGGAAACTCCACATTTCACGGATGCACTTTCTATCTCGTTGAAAATCGAACCGCTTCGTTGCCTGATGAGCGTAGTCGATGCATCAGCGTTTTTTAAACGGTCAGCTTTCTCCGCGAACTTGGAATAAATTTCTGACTTTTTGCCACTAAAGTATTTCACATGGTATTTTCGTTTTAAATTTAGATCTACTGTCAATTTTTAAGATAATCAATGCTTGTTAAACATGCTGGTAATGTAAATTAAATTATTAAAATATATGCAAAGTGGAACTATTTGTTTATTGCTCAACTGTGTATTTCGTCACCGTTAACAACGCATCATCTTTCCCGCGAAAAAGGCAGTTCAATTAATGTTGTTTTCATGACGGTGTTTTGCTTTTTTCTTAATTTCAAATAATAAAAGTGGAAGTAATAGAATGTAAATATAAGGTTTGAAATGCATCTTTTTAACTTTTACTGCATTAACTTAACCCAAATACATATTATGCTCTTAAATTCATCAAATGTACAGATACAATTTCATCCAAGCTACAGATACGCAATATCAGTATTAAGAGTCCCACAAAAGACGTACAGAACGTCATACAGTAGATATATAGGAATGTACAGACATGTACACAAGAAAAGAAGAACCGACTTTATTGTAGAATTATAATTGGAGAAGGATACGGGTTATTGGGAGTGGTATATCATATTATTACGCTTTGGAAACTTCTTGGGTGTTGAGTATATAGAACGCAACGGTAAATCCATATTCTCCTCTTCACGTATGTCTTTTGATTTCAAGAGAGAAATTAAGACAAATTCAGAGGAAAAAGCCGAACGAGCTTACTTTGGTGGAAAACACGTATTGTATTATTGGTTAAATTTGAAAATTCAAACAAAAGGTTATTATTGTCTAAGCCTATTTGCTGATATCGAATGATGATTCTTTGACAGAAAATGAAGAGACTGCCCTACGGATTTTCCTTCAGCCACGCCTGTTATATAAATGGTTTTCGTGGTAGAAAGAGTGAACATTAATTTAAATGGAGATTTTCCATCGGTCACTGTCGCGCAAAATAAGTTATTGTGGTAAAAAAGAACAACAGAACGTAATTATATCCTCGCCAAACAACAGCTAGACATGATTTAAATGTTGGAGATGTCAATCTTAAGGTGTCAGTAAATTGAGGTATTTATTAGTACCATAACGGTTACTCAATCAAATATAATTACGGGTACCATGATCCATAGATGCTCTAAATTAGTCCTAAAAGAAATTCACATAGAAGTATTTGATTTCATTATTATGCAATAAGTTTGCTTTTTTTTAAATTTATTTTTGAGCGACTGTTGTTGTCAGAGGACATAACGAAACTCATCTCTGGACTGAAAAATCAGGAATACCAGAGTCATATAGACATGTATACAACAGATGTACAGACAAATATAATGCAGACACACAGACAAGAACGCAACAGACGTACAGACGGGCGCAACAGGCGTACAGACAGACGCACCAGACATACAGACGCAATAGAGATACAGAGAGTCATACTGTACAACAGACACACATGCATCAGGCTCGCAACAGACGTACATACAGACACGCAATAGGCGCACAGACATATACAACAGACGTACAGATAGACACGCACAGATAGACACGCAACAGACGTACATACAGACAAGCAATAGGCGCACAGACATATACAACAAACGTACAGATAGACACGCAACATACGTTCAGATAGACACGCAACAGACGTACAGATAGACACGCAACAGACGTACAGATAGACACGCAACAGGCGTACAGATAGACACGCAACAGACGAACATACAGACACGCAATAGGCGCACAGACATATACAACACACGAACAGATAGACACGCAACAGACGTACAAATAGACACGCAACAGACGTACATAGAGACAAGCAATAGGCGCACAGACATATACAACAAACGTACAGATATACACGCAACAGACGTACAGATAGACACGCAACAGTACATATAGACACGCAACAGGCGCACAAAGACATTCAACAGGCGCACAGACACACGTAACATACGTAAAGACAGACACACTGAACAGGCCGCTACAGAGAGACACGCAACCGACATACAGACAGACACGCAACAGACGTACAGATAGACACGCAACAGACGTACATACAGACAAGCAATAGGCGCACAGACATATACAACAGACGTACAGATAGACACGCACAGATAGACACGCAACAGACGTACATACAGACAAGCAATAGGCGCACAGACATATACAACAGACGTACAGATAGACACGCAACAGACTACATACAGACAAGCAATAGGCGCACAGACATATACAACAGAACGCAACAGACGAACAGTCATACGACGGGCGTGTATATAGGTGGAAATTAAATCATCAGAAAGGCTTACGTGATAAAAACATACAATGAATTTTAAAGTATGGAAATAAAAATGTGAAATTGTAAAAAATCTAGTTTCATTGATTATCTGCCCAATATGTGTGTTGAACAGTATGTTATTCCTTTAAAAGTTTAATTTCTAAGAAACGTTATGGAAATCTGTATTTCTCACTGACGCAGTCCACAAGTGTTGCAAATAATAATGTCGATAAAGGTTTACTACAAAGTGATGAGACAGTGTCATCAAAGTTGACATGTTCTAGCCATCCCTGGAATATTTAAAAACGTTTTGTTGACGTAAAAAGGATGGCAAACTATCATCTTGGCGTACACATGTAGTTATCAGCATCCCAGAATATTATCACGTGGTACGCAGATCTGGTTTATATATATTCCCTCGAAAATGTCAGGATTGAAATCGGCACCTAAAACCTTGGAATCGCTTAGCTGATGTTTGAGGAAGTACAGTAGTCTGTAGTCTGTTTATTTGTTTACGTGCAGTTTGTTTGTTTACTTGTTTGTTGAGTGTTAAAAGTCTTTAACTACCAATGATGAATTTTTTTTTAACGTATTTTATTTGCAAAAATACGAAAAGGATTAGACACAAGTTATAAAACTTAAAGTTCGCCTTAAGGTCATATGATGACTCCACGAATGTATAGTTCTACCCAAGGGTCACAATACTGAAAAGTTACAACTAAAACACGGCAGTGTATCGTCCCACACGGTCATATTAGAATAGAAAAAGGCTAACTTGAGGTACGTACACCGAAATAAATATCCGAACTGCGAATATATTGCAATTGATGCCGTCTATCCTTAACTGAAAGGGCCCCAAATCAATCACCTCTTAAGATCATGAAGGTTTGCATTATATATGTTATATATAATCAGTATACTGTAGGTTTCTTTTAATTTGTTTGTTCTTCGCTTTCGCGAATATTTAAGTATTACGCAAAAATATCCATACATATTATTGTACTTCGTCTATATAACAGCATATGTGATTGGATTAAATTGATCACATGACGGATAAATAACACGTAGTGTTTTCCTGAAGCGCACGATGATCCCCAGTCATAATTTTCTCGCACCTCAGACAGAGATACCCCACGTCATACCCCATGCTAGATTTGTCTATCAAGTCCGATCTGTCTTGTACCTTTACGTGACATTTGGCGATGTATTCATCCGCGCGTTTACTGCTTGAATTTGGCAATTTGCGTTATACATGTTCTGTTTTGTCGTTATTGCATAGTTTGGATGTTGTTAGATATTTGATGGTGTA